CCTTCCAATTGGAACGGATTATCCGGTTTTCAATGCATCTCTATGGGAAATGGTGTTTCGCTTAACGATGTTTTCACATAGTGATTTTTTTTTGAACCAATTAAAATCGTGGCACTGGCAGCAACAGGAGGAGGCCGATGTGAAGGAAAAGCTGCTCCCGGCTGCCACTTGGTGCGAAATTTCTGCTGACCATTGACTGTGATTCTCGCACCACAGGAGAGCGAGCGAGTGAGTAGGGTGCAGCGCAGCGCAGGAAGCCCGGGCGAAGGCCCTGCTTATGGGAAAAGACGTCCCCTGGCTGCCCTCTGGAGGATGCCCCAGCCTGGAGAGTGTCTGCCGATTTGGGCAATCGGGCTCTAAAGGGTCGAAATTGGGGGGGCGTCTTATACATGGGAGGTCTTCTTATAAATGGAAAAATAAGGCAATTGCATTACGCTACTTATATCTCATCATTCCTCAGACAAGTTGAGGGCAGCATACACAGCCCTTTTCTCCCAAACTATCCTCCCAACATCTCTGTAAGGTAGGGTCAGGATGGCAGAGTTCTTTGATTGCCCAAAGGTCATCCCATAAATTTAACAGCTCAGCAAGAACAGAATCTGGATCTTCCAAGTCTAGTACTCCAAGTGTTACATCACATTGGCAGACCCTCACAAAGGCTACCTCTCAGTTGTAGCTCAGGATGTGATGGGAACTAACAAGAGCAGGCCACCTCTGGAGGATGTTGCTGCTCAAGGCTGCAAAGGCATCACAGATTAAAACTAAAACCTTGAATTGTGTCTTAGGTTGCTGCAGGATTCTGAACCAATTACTCCAGAGACTGACCCTAGAGTATGGAACCCTAACACAGCTTCACAGTAATATGGCAAAAATGGCCGCTCTTTAGCATGAGTCCCAAAATCAGAAAGTCCCAGTTTCAACACCAAAAGAGCATAGCCACTGTTGAACCACAAGTTCACTTTTTCCCTATTATGCTTCTGTAATAGGCAGCAAATGCTTCCAGGCAGCTCACAGGTTAGGCAGTGGCATATGGTATTAAGAGAGAGATTGGACAAAATTTTATTACATACAATCAGAGTAAATCTGAGCAAAGAATTGCCACTGGTTAAGAAGTGTACACATTTGCTGTTCATGCAGAACCCCATGATTAAGGACAGACAATGCCTATGCTGTATCTTTATGGTAATTCACTGCTGAGATTTACATTGACTGCCATTATGCCAGCATAGTCTTGTCAAGGGGTAAAGTCAATTCACAGCATCTTGTGATAAGGCAAAGAATGAAGATGCACAGAGCTAGTCAGTGCTGACAATGCTGGGCTAAATTGGGGTGGGAATCATTCTTGGCTTTTTCCTGGCCCACAAGAATTTGGAGGCAGGATCACTCCCATAAAAATGGATACTCACACATCTAGGGTGTAAGGATGTCCTCTAAAACAAAGTGTGAATTTCCTATATTTTGTTTTAGCCGAAATAATTTTTTTTAAAAAATCACAGAAATGTGATTGTGTTGCAACTTGAAGTAACTTGACGCTCACTTCCAATTTCATCCAGAAGGGCTGGTGCAGCTTCCAAAACATCCAGGGTGTTCTGAATATGGCCCTGGACACCTGCTACCTGCCATCCCCTAAGCTATGCAGAACAATGCTATGAATTAGCAAACTATCCATCTTTCTGTTCTACAAAACTAACAGAATATGCAGCTGGATAAAAAATGCGGTGAGTGGGACATACATTCCTGCGTGCCTTGCTTGAAGGTATCATTGATCTGCTGGAACATGGACTGGCAACTCTTCTCAAAAGCTGGCAGGACCACACTCTGAAAGGCCTCCCTGTATGCTGACTGCATGGGTCCCTGCAAGGTCTCAGCAGCTGTTCGGGCAATACTATCTGTTAGATTCTGGAATTAAAGCACAAGCAAACCCGTTACTTATACAGGTATTTCTTTAAAAGCATCAAGGCTATCCAGTATTTGAAGTACCACCTAACCTATCTGGCTTAGAATCATGACTTTGCTGCTCTAAATACAAAACAGGAGACAATGGCAGAATGGATAGCCAATGTAACACCAAAGCCAGCGAGTACATGATGCACCAATGCTACAAGCCAGCTTGGTCCCTTCTGTTTGGAATCAGAAAAGGACTCCCCTCCCAGAAAGGACAAGCCTGCTTTTAGCAGCCAAGCCTTGCCATTACCTTTGATTTCACCAGTTTTGCAACATTCTCCTTCAACGTCCCCTCAATGGCTGTAAGTTTGGCTGCAATTGTATTATTCAGCTGCCCAGTGACAGGATCCAAAGTCTTGGAGATGCCTAATCAACACAAGACAAAATGAAGGGATACTTCCATTCTACCACCAAAGGAGATCTACAGGTGAAACACATGGACACACACTCTAAACCAGGAATAGATAAAATGCGGTCTACAGATATTAATGCATGCAATTATACTAATATCTACTAATATACTAATATACTAATGAGCCTCGTGGCGCAGTGGTTAAACCGCTGTACTGCAGCTAAAACTGTGCTCACGACCTGGGGTTCAATCCCAGGTAGCCGGCTCAAGGTTGACTCAGCCTTCCATCCTTCCGAAGTCGGTAAAAGGAGTACCCAGCTCGCTGGGGGGGGGGGCAATGTGTAGCCTGCATAATTAAATTGTAAACCGCCCAGAGAGTGGGCAAGCAGCAAGCAGATGGAAGGCCTTTCTTGCTTGTTTACTTGGTAATAAACTTGCCACCAACACCCCCCTCTTCCTTTAGCAGAAATGAAAGGACCTCCTTTTCATCCAACAGCTAAAAGGACTGCCTTTGCCAAGAAAGGCCTTCCATCTGCTTGCTGAAGTGTGGACCCAGGGAGGAAAAGCTTTACAAGTCCTGTCAGTTTCAGTCACTGTAGCTGATAATGAGATATTAAAAAGCGTGCTGCTTATATACCGCCCCATAACGCTTCAAGCACTCTCTGGGCAGTTTACATCTATTTCACTCCCTAAAACCAGGGGAAAATAAACCAAAAACCCAAGGCCCAAAGACTTCCATTAACTGGGGATGTCTCTAGCATGTGGACAGAGCAGCTAAGACAATGGGAAGGATTTCTTTTATCTATGGAGGAATTAAACTTTATTACATATGGGATCATGGTTGTAAATTAGGGACTGTCAGACATGTGTGCAATGTGTGTTTATTTCATGGTGTGATATTACACATAAATTACTGTGCATGTGTTTTAATTAAGTTGTGTTCATGGAAGGAGCTCTAAGATGATTCTGTCTTTGCACCAATCTCTTTTTGAAGAATGTGCTGTACTCTTTTTATATATGTAATAAAGATTAACTTCTCATATAATCTAGCCTGCCTATTCCCTTTTCTTTACAGCACTTGTACAGAGACTTCTCCAATAGAAGGCAGAGCAGCCTTATGCGCTTGGGTGTTGGTTTCAGAGAAAGAAAGCGGTAACACACAATGGACGTCCTCCTATAAGTTAGGGGAAAAAAAGAGGTGTTTCTTCATCTCTGTTGAATGGAGATGGTAGCAGCTCAAGAACAAGGGGGGAAAAAAGAGGTGTTTCTTCATCTGAATGGAGATGGTAGCAGCTCAAGAACAAAAAAGTAAGTCCCCTGTCTACTCATCATCAAAGAGCGGGCTGAAGGAAATCACAGCATCATGAAGTTAGACAGGGCCATCGAGTCCAACCCCCTGCTCAATGCAGGAATACAAATCAAAGGATACCTGTCAGGTGGTTGTCTAAGTTTCTCTTGAAAGCCTCCAGTGTTGGAGCACTCACACCTCTCAAAGTAACTGGTCCATTGCCGTACTGTTCTAACAGTTAGGACGTTTTTCCTGATATTAAACCAAAATCTGGCTTCCTGTAATTTGACACCGCCGATAGTGCTTCTGGCAGGGGCACCGAAGCCCTGAGTCCACCAGCAGCGGTGATGATGGTGGTGGGGGACCCCTGGAGGGGGGTGTGAGTTTTCTTGGGGCGGGTACAGATCATATGGTTTCCAATGCATTCCTATGGGGAATGCATTTTCGACCTACGGACCCCGTTCCAATATGGATTAATTCCATAGGTCGAGGGTTCACTGTAATAAAACATGTTGAAGAGCACAAGGCCCAGGAGTAAGCCTTGGTTTACCCTACTTGTTACCTCCTCCCAGTTTGAGAAGGAGCCATTAATCATCACCCCCTGAGTATGGTTCTGTAACCAACTGTGCATCCACCTGACAGTTGCTTTATCCAGCCCACATTTACTTAGCTTGCTAATCAATCACAGGGCACTTCGTCAAAAGCTGTGAAACGCCTTCACAGGAGGTACAGCCAAACATCAGAGAAAGGGTCACATATTTTTCACCCATATTTTTCAACCACATCAATCCTTTCAGGCTGATTAAGGTGACAGAAACTGAAAAGGAGAGACGTAGGCCTGCAGAAGACCATCTTTTTGTAGCAAGACATGGCTATCCAGGATCTTCACGGACACAGGCTCCCTCTTTTTCCCAGTCTCCTTACTCAGAGATCCAATGATTCCCAGGGCTTTCATGTTCCCCTCTCATTTCAAAGCAACTTCTACAAATCAAAGGCTAGACGGTTGATGTGTAAGCAGATCGGAATCTGCAGGGCATGACTTACAGGGAGGCACGGCCTTCTTCATCTCTTCGCGGATGGTCCTCTCCAATCGGCTGCAGGCGGCTGCAGAGAGGGACTGGGAGAGGTGCTGGGAGAGGTGCTCCTGCAACTGCCCACTGCGCTGCTGCCTCTCGGCCAGAGCCAGGTCTAGCCTCTGCTCTACAAGCACAAGGGTTAAGGCCCATAAAAGGGACAGGGGAGAGCGCGAGAGCTCCCAGGGGGGTTCCAGAAAGATACGTGACCAGAGGCTGTAGCCCTTTTGGCATCCAGTGAAGACCTTTGAAACTCCCAACAGGTTTCAGTCTTAAAAATCTTGTTACTTCATTTCATATCTTGCATTAACACTACTATCTGTTTTCATGCTACTAGCTTGTTTCATTTATTTTTAGGGTTTTATATTGGCATTTACTTCGTTTTGTGACCTTAATTCTTGCTATAAACTGTGTTTATTAAAAAAAAACAAAGGTAGTGGATGCCTTTATTAATAATAATTGTGTGTTGCCAAGTCAATTCTGACTTATGGTGACCCTTTCTAGGGTTTTCTAGGTGGAGAATATTCAGAAGTGGTTTGCTGTTGCCTTCTCCCAGGGTGCCTTGGGGGACCGTGCTGTTAGCCGAAGGCACCACAGACCGGCTCTTCCGGGACGCGGTAAGAAATTTAACTCCCAACTTCTGGCTCTGCAGCCAGAAACCTAACTTACTGAGCTATCCAACTAGAGATAACTTTATTAGCTCATCAAGATAAACACATACACTAATGAATTAAATATATATAAAATAACATTTTTATTTATTTTTTCTTGATTTCAAAGTTTCTTGCTTTTGTACTGTGTAAGGACCACATGGCTTTAATTTCTTTGTGTTTATTAGGTAATGCATAAATTCTGAAAAGCAAACAAGCAAGCAAGGCATAATCTAATCAAAATGGAAACCAGTGTGGTACAGGGCTTTTATAGAGCTATTTATTTATTTACAAATGCTTGTGAACTGCTAGAGATCCAGGCACCAGTATCCATTCAGCTCAAGGTCATCTTTGGAAGACCTCTCACCTACTTCACAGAGCTGTTGTGAAGATGAAATGAAGAGGTGAGACCCATGGACGCTGATGTACGTTCACTGGGGGGGCGGAAGGCAATATAAATAAAACTAATAATTGACCTGACACATTGTTTCTTGTAAAAGACAGCTAGCGTCATTTAATCATGATGGCTTTAATAGGGATGCAGATCAGGCTGTGATGCCACAATCCCCAGGAAAGTGAATTCTGAAGGAGAAAAAACTCAGGGAAGAAAAGAGACCAGAAGGCAATTTTGTAGAAAGGATACGCTCTTGCTCTTGTTGGGAATCCAACACCCGCTCGATGTGGCCCATAAGGGAGCTCTGCACAGCATCCAGATGGTCAGTGAGCCTCTGCATTAGCTCCATTTGGTTCTGTTTTAATTCAGCAATCTCCCTCTGCTGGGCCCTCAGCAGGGACATCAGTTCGTCCTGGTATTCAGGAGCAACCTATTAGAAGAGGAGGGAGGAAAAATGGAACCATTCCACCTCAACCTTGTGACCATGGTGGTGAAATATTATGGGAACTGTGTTTCAAGCCCCCTGTGGACATGATAGACAGACAGACAGACAGACAGACAGACAGACAGACAGACAGACAGATAGATATAGACAGACAGACAGACAGACAGACAGACAGACAGACAGACAGACAGACAGACAGACACATGGTAAAAGAAAAAACTCAGAAAAAATATTTTCACACGCATTACCAGATCTGGCCACTAGAGAGCATCAGATACCATGCTATGTGTTCTTCACTAACAAGTATTCATAGCTAGGTCTCTGGCTCCCTTTCTTGGCTACTTCTGGTAATACACGTGAAAGCAGTTTTTATTCATGGGCTTTTTTCTTTTAATATTTTCAGACCATGTAAACCAGTGGACACTGATCTCATGGACAAAGGGGCCCTACTATACTGCAACAAGCAAATTGGCAAATCAACAGATTCCAAGGAAACAACAATTAAGACAGGAGTTAGCCCCAAGATTAAATGCACAGTCCACATGAAGCCTGCAATATGGAAACAGAAGGCAATTTCTGTAAAACTAACATACAGAGAAACCTCTGAGAAAGAACCTCCACCCCAACTGATGTTTTATACTTCAATACAGGGAATTTCTAAAGCAGAACAGACAATCTTGGGAGGGTCTCAAAATCATTCCACACTACCCTTGAACCCACCAGGGGCTCCACAAGCTTCCTTGGTGCTTTAAAAACAAATAAAACAAGGGGTGGAGGCACATCTTGTTCTGGAGCATTGAGAAGTTAGAGGTATGATTCTCCAATTCATTTGAAGATTTTTTCCCCCACATTGGGCGGGTCTGAGTGCCACAAAAACTGCATTGGAGGTCACATGTGGTTCATGTAATTATCACACATTCTAATACCAGGGAAGAATACTTCAAGTTATAGACCAATTTCCCTTCTTTATGTGGATTTCACAACTCGGACAGCTGTGTCACCAAATAGGTAACAACCCATTAAATCCAAACTGGGGCTGTATCAGGCAGGCAGGGTTTGTGAGGCAGAGGCTAGAATTTAGATCACATGAGATCTCTGTGGGACATTGCTGTGATTTCAAAGGACCCTGATGCAAAAAAAGCTTTTTGACGTGTGAACAGATCTCTTCACTTTCTTGGCTTTTTGACTCCTGTAAGCGAAAACAATTGTTAAAATCCAATGGACATATTGTAGATACCGAAGTGCAGAAGGGAGAAAAGACAGAGATGTCCTTCACCTTTCCTTTTTCAATTTCATTCTGTTGGATTCTAGATGAGGAGAAGATGGAATAGCAACCCTCACAAGGAAGGGAAAATGAAAATATTGTTGTTGTACAATTTTGTGGAAGAACATCACTAACCTGTTGATCAAAGGGCCTTGGAGACTGTGTCACATCCCTGGAATTCAAGAAAAGGTTTTCATCATCAGCACCAGCACCACACTACTAACCAGAAACATCCCACCTCAAATCACATAAAAATAAAAAACATAAATATTCAACTAATCCTAAACAACTATCAGTAACCAAAGATTTCAATAAGTATCAGTGAGTCAGCTGTGTTCATTTCACACCCCCACCAAAAAAACACCCAGAAACAAAACAAACAGTGGCATTTGGTGCATACACAGGAAGGGGCCCACTCTATTGCTGCTCCCAGACTGTGGAACTCCCTCCCACAGGAGGCTTGGCTAGCGCCATCTTTGTTGTCCTTCTGCAGGCAGAGCTTTTTTTTCAGACAGGCCTTCCATGAGTGAGTGGCTTGCCGAGAGGTGTTTTTAAATGAAGTGTTCTACCTTAGTAGCTTTGAATCTGTTTTGGTGTTGCTTATATTTTAGGTATGGTATCTGTCTGACCTTTTTTAGTATTTGTAAACTCACTGCTGTTAGCTTTAATATTCTTTTTTTATAATGTAAACTGCCTTGGATAATTTTAAGAAGAAAGGCAGGGTACAAATATTTTAAATAAATAAAAAAAAAAAGAGTTGTGATACCTTAAAGACTAAAGGACTTATTTCAGTGTGAACTTTCATAAATTACAGTGTGTACTGGAATAAATCTATTTTTTATGGTGCCACCATACTTCTATTTATGCTATAAAGTAATTCTAAGTCTTTGTAATATTCCCTCAAAATAAACAAGATATATATAACAAAGCAATGTTCAACTCTGAAATTTACAAGGACAATCCAAAGATTCTATATTCCTCTGTCTAAATTACAGCATTTCATATAAAACAAACACCTAAAATTGTTCAAGATGTTGTTTTTGTTGTTGAAACTGGGAGGAGAGACCAAAAGAAAAAAGGGGGTTGTCCAATGGCTACCTAGTGAGCTCCTGACAGGTAAAATTCAAACCGTGCTCTTCCTGACTGTAAACTGCACCTACTAAGCCATCACACTACATAACTTGCTAGGAGAGGGGAGTCAGTGTTGACTAGAGTAGGCTTGCTGAATCAATGGAACTTACAGGACTCATCAAATTCCCACTGCTTCAACGGACTGAATCTAGTCGTGACTCACTATGCTAAGCAATAGGCGTTCTGCCAATTTCACCTTATAAGAGTACATGCTTACCCATCATCTTTCTTTCCCTTCCTCTTTAGCTTTGGGGAGGCTCGGGGGGACACCTTTGCTTTCCAGTCTTTTACAGGTAGCCTCTGGGCAGCCACTTTGGCACTAAATCCACCTGATGCTGAAGCCAAGCTTGCTACTTCATCATCATGATCACTGCAAAGAGAAGATGAGGTACTAACGTCGTCAGTGATACTGCCTCAACAGCAATCTCAAACAGACGCTACGATCAGCAATGGAATAAGTCACCTATGCTTGCTCTGTGCTAAGTTATGCTGACACCTTATTTCAGTAAGTCAGCAGCTCATAAACCTGTAGAAAGCTTCTAATTGTGTAGAAGCAGAAAACCGAGTCTGACTTCAACTTCATATTATTATGAACAACCAGTCTGCAACAGCGGTGCTCAAGAATAAATGCTTACTCGTACAAACATCCTCATATTACATTTTCTAATACAGAAGTCCTACTGTACAAATTATGGCCCCAGTAAGCCAAGGTGGACAATCATGTTACAGAAAGCCACAATTTGCCTAACTTCCATCACATCATGGATCAGAGAGCTTATGGTCACTAGCATAAAACCTATCCACTTCTCAACAAAATCAAACCTTAAAATATGGAATGTTAAGTTTAAAAGTTAAAACCAAATTCCTAGCTCTCATGGAGGAGAATGTAAGGCTGATTTTAATGATCTCCTAATCTTGCATCACATTATTTTAAAGTTAATTAGAGGAGCTGTGGCCAGAAGCTTCAGCTGCATCCAGGACACCACTACAGAGAAGGGGTTATAGGCATATGTCAGTACCTTTGCTCAGCACTAGCGTCCTGACTTTCATGCTGCAGCATATGGTAGGTGTGTCTGTGATAAGAGCTCTTGTGTTTCTCTTCAGCTTCATTCCTAGGGCTGAGGATGAAGAGGAGACAATTCCATCACACTGAATTTCTTCGGAATTCCATCCATGCAAATGCTGGGAGCTAAGTGCTCACATACATGAGCAGTGGAATTTTCTTTGTTATGGAAACACCAGACGTAAGTCTGCCTTTATTTCAAGCAGTTTTGTTGGACTATACAAAACACAAACTTTCGAAGCCAATTTTAGACATTGCCTTCTAAAAAACTTTGCAGGGAAGAGTCAAAGTTAGGAACTGTGGATACAACCAGACGTGTGTAAGAGAGACAGCCATCATACAGTGATAAATGCTTTACATATACAAGGTACAAGGTCCATTCGCTGGCACTTCCAGTTTCAAAAAATCAAATAGAAGGATTGGCAAAGGCAATCCTTATGCCGAAATCTAGTAAAGAATTCACACTGCTGTCTATACTAAATGTTGGGCTAGAGTGACAAACCACTTACAAGGCAGCTTGCCACGTTCCTATTTATTTAATTGCACTTTTATCCTACTTACTAACCAAAGTCCTCTGCGGGATGCACAGTCTCTTAAAAATATAAAACAACAATAAAACAGTGACTAAAGAAATGAAAGATAAAATCAAAATGTAAATAGCAGCAGAGAATAAAATATCTCAGCATATCAAACCAAATAAAAACCAGCATTGGGATAAGCATGCACAAATGCAGAAGCATTGAGACATTATTTAAATGCTTGGGGGAATAGAAGGGAATTCAATTGGTGCCAGAGCTCTTCACTATATTCTGCACATTTGCTCATCTTGATTGTTGTGGATTTTGGAATTTACCAAAATACAGTCTAGGATATAGTTCAATTAATTGATAGACATTTATCCTGATTTTTATATTGTTATAGTCATGTGGTTATTATTTAATGTGCTATTGTTATTTTATTCTGTTGTGAAACGCCCAGAGTGGCCTTAGTAGCCAGATGGGCAGTATATAAATTTAAAAAATAAAATAAAAATAAATAAAACACCATAATATGAAAAATAAATAAATTGAAAAATAAATAAAACACCGTAAGTCAGAGGACCATCTCAAGGGAAGGCATCCCACATGTGGGATGCTATCATTGAAAAGCCCCCTACCTTGCCTCCCTCGGCAGGTACACCCAGAAGACAAAAAAATCCTAAACACAAAGCTACTAGTCTCATGAAGTCCAAGAAACAAGCGAAAATCAACCACCACCAAAAGGAAGGGGACGTAGCAGTTACCTATCTGCCATGCTGTTCCTGGTCTCTCTGGTGATGTCAGGGGCAGCTGGCCAAGGTTGGCTCATACTACTATCAGAAGCTGTTGTTTCCTGAGGTAAGGCCATCTCCAGCAGGGAGGGTGCCATCAGCATGTCCACTTCACTGGGGGCCATGTCCAAGGAATGATGGCTGTGTTCTGAGTTGTGCCGATTGCGCGGAGACAGTAAGTGCAAGGCTGACGCCGCAGAAGCCATGCTGTCATCATGATGGTTGGAGTCCAGGACTTCTGCATCATGTCCTGAAGAGCTTGTGCCAAAGCCACGCTGCAGGGTCTCTGAGGCAATTTCAGGGATGTCCTGGGACATGGCAGTTGAAGCTGAGGAGATGACATCAGGGGAGCGTTCGCGAGTGGGGGAAGACTGAGGCATCATCAGAGGCTCCACTTCTTGCCGCTCCGGTGCATGCGGGGAGTTCCCTGAGGAAACCTTGATCAGAGAAGGAAAAGGTTCAATCTCCTTTTCACAATAACATCCTCAGGTGTTCAAGAAGTTTAGATTCCCAGCTCTCTTGCCTGTCCTCCTTCCTAATCCCCCAGATATGTAATTTATTACATCTATTTTAAAATAGTATATACTCCTCACTTTTTTTGGCCAATTCATTCAAAATGCTTCACAATTAACAGTTAACATAAGAATACACAAAAAGAACAATAATGTCCATTAGCAAAATCCATAACAAAGATTAGTTATTGGATCACTGAAACATTCCTGAAACATGAACTTTCAAGTCCTCATTTTGATAAAGGATCCCAAGTACTCAAAACCTCACCTTTACAAAATGTTTCAGTGGTCCAACAAGGACATTATGATACCCTGTTTTGGGACAAACCCCCCACAAGATTTGCACATGGCAAGTTTGTGGAACTAGGGCAATGACAGCGAAGCTTTTTGAGCCCATGTGCCCAAATTGGGACATGGGGGGGTGGAACAAAAACAACCCAGTGGGCGGTGGGCGGTGGCAGAAGCAGAAGTGGTGGCGGAAGGGGGAATCCCGGGCACGGAGGTGCCTCAAGACCCCACTCCGGATCCGCGGCCAGCGCCAGCTGCTCCAGATCCTGGCCTGCCGCCAGTCAGGGTGCTAGCATCATGGCGGCAGCCGCCTCCTTAGGTTTGGCTGCCGGGGGTAGTGATCCGGCGACTTATGGCTTGTGTGCCCGCAGAGAGGGCTCCGTGTGCCAGCTGTGCCACAGGTTCGCCATCGTTGAACTAGGGTTTAACAGTCTTTTTGAAGTGCATTTTTGATTCTACCTTCTGTTAAGTCAGCTCAGGGTTTTTAGTTCTTCGGTGTTAGTCTCACAAAAACCTTACAAGCTTGTTTAGGCCAAGAGACCACATTGATTGTCACAATTAGGCAAGGATGTAAATGTGCATCTTTATGGCCTCAGTGCAACGCTCTCACAATTAAGCTGTTTTCTACAGTGCCCATTATTTAGAATCTTAACTTTAAAAAATGCATTGAAAAAACTAGTAGTTAGTTGAGCACAGAAGTGTTAAGTCGTGTACTGAATGACAGCAAAAGTGTAAAAAAAAACCACAAGGCCTGAAACGGAGAGCTACATCACTTTACCGACACCTTAGTACTCCTTTGAACCAAGGAACAGCTCCAAGTGGAGTGGTTTTTGGAGATATTTAAAAACTCTAGTTTATGGAAGGCAACATGAAGACTGTTGAGGGAGAAAGTTTGAAGTTCTGGAAATCAGCAAGGCAGAAGCCAGGAGGAGAGGTGGGAAACTAGCACACTCCAGCAACCGAGTACAGGAGCAAATTTAGGGACACAACGGGGATGGTGGTGCAAGCAAGAGAAAATGAAATGTTGGCACGCTCCAAAGAAGAAGTCACTTTACTGGGATGGGAGGCTTTGGGGCCAGCTTGTCAGGAAGGCCCGAGAGGAGGACCGAATGACTTCGTGGACTTGTCTGCAGACTCCCACTGCTGCTGCTCAGTCCGAGACTAGCATCCAGCTGCATCTTTGGGCTCAGAGACACGTCTTCAGCTGATCTGCAGCAGAAATTGATCAAAAGAGATTAGGGTTACCCCCTTCATTAAAAGTAAGCCCCCCCATTTAAAGTAATCAATAGACAAAGACTCTGTTTATATCATTATCCTACAGCAGAGGGTGTACTATCTCAACCAGCAAGCTTCCCAACTCTTAAACATTTAACAGAAACAACTCGAAAGCAAAATAAAAATAATTCTCCATCCTGTCTACCTTTGTGTTAACAACTTGCTTTAAAATAAAGGGAACCTCTGTGGTCCATGCAAATCAAAATACAACTGCAAGAATAGGCGATACCTTTACAGACCACTAAGAAATCACTTTACAATATGCAAGCTTTTGTGGATAAAAACACCACTTCATCGGGCTTGTACCAATGTGAAGGAATTAAAGTCCAATAGCTCTTGGCAAGATGGATTTCTCCAGGCATATTGTTCTTAGATGTAAATCAGAGAGGTGCAGGAAGCTGTAGTCGTTGTTTTAAGGTTACAGCTGAGGCAGCTGTGGACTGGACGTCCCCCACCAGTTCTGCCTTAGTGTTCCTTGTTGTCAAGTGATTGTTTTTGACCAGGCCTTACTGCAGTTCTGCCAGCTAATTCTAAAGCTGTCTTAGTATCCCTGGTCTACAGGAACTCATGCAAATTTATACATAAACATTATCCCAATGTAAGGCTCATGTTAATGTTTCTATTTTCTTAATGAGCATTTTGTGCCTAGCTCCTCCTCCTCCTCCCCTCACTCCTATCCTGCTCCTGGCTCTCAGTATTGGACCTTGAGGCTCTAGCAAACAAGAAGAGCCAATAAACTTCTGTCCAATACTGTCTGACCGAACTTGGCATACACAGAGTGGTCTCCACACAGCACCATACATTCCTTGAAAGAACTGCCTAGGGAAGGATGAGTTGTTGACCTGCAACTGCAGTTTTTCAAGGGGTCATCTGTGAATTGACACTTTTGGATTCCTTCTGAACCTGCACAGATATTTTTGGAAAGTAACCCTCTCTCAGTGTGCATGCTCCCCCAACCCAACAGTTGTTCCTCATTTTCTTTGTCTGCCATTGATAAAAAATCTATGTGACAGAAGGAGGGGAGGAGGGGTTGGTTGTGTGAATTCACAGACGACCATTCAAAGAACTACAGTTAAAGGTAAGCAAGCCGTCCTCTGTCTTTGTGGTCTCTGTGATTCACACTTTTGAAGGACTGAGAAGGTATTTACCAGCTGGCTGGATGTCATACCAACACAGATGGTATTACTGCATGGCTGAATGCAGCATCACGTTTCGCCCGGATGTCCAGTCTGCAATGTTTCACGAGTGTGGCTGAGACCACATTGCTGCTCTGCAAGTATCTGTCACCTGAATGCCTCTTAGAAAAACTATAAATGCAGCAACTTCTCTCATAGATTTTTCTATGAAAAATCTTTCAACAGAGAGCCTTCTCTGTTGCTGCTCCCAGATTTTGAAACTCACTCCCTGAGGACATCAGACTGGCCCCATCTTTGCTGTCCTTCCACAAGCAGGCAAAGACCTCTCTCTTCAGGCAAGCCTTCCCTCAATAACTAGCTACCTGTGTGTGATTTTTAGATGGATTGTTATGTATTACTGCTTTAACTGGATTTTAAGTATTACTTGTGTTTTCCATTTCTCAGGGTAGTATATTTAAAATTTTTGTATACTTATTGTATAGTTTTAATATTGTCTGTTAATGATGTAAGATGCCTCTTTATAATCATTGTTAGGCATCCTTCAGTCTCGAAAGACTATGGTAGTGTGCTCTGTATGGAGGGCTTGGAACAGCGCCTAGTGTGGCTGAGAAGGCCAATTCGAGAGTGACAGTCCCTTCCACACTGAAGACAAATCCAGTTTGTCCCCTGTCCGGCTCCCTGGTTTTGCTGCTTTTGTGACTTCCTCTTTGCCTCGGCCTGCTGGGCAAGGGTCTCTAAATATTGTCTTTGAATGATGTTAACTGTTGTCAATGTTGTAAGCTGCCTTGGATCCTTTTCAATGAGAAAGGTGGGGTAAAACATACATACATACATACAACTGATTTTCTTTCCCTCTTTTTCTGCTGTGATTTGTCTTTCCTTCCATCTTGTAGAAAATTTTTCTAATTGTGTAAATTATTTATATACCGTATTTTTTGCACCATAAGACACACTTTTCCCCCACAAAACAGGGGGTTGGAAAGCCTGTGCGTCTTATGGAGCGAAGAAAACAGATTATATTTTCCTGTTTTCTTCTCCTAAAAAATTGGTGCATCTTATAGAAAGGTGCGTCTTATGGAGCGAAAAATACGGTATTTACTCGCATTTACATGCTTTCGATCTGCTAGGTTGGCGAGGAGCTGGGACAAAGCAACGGGAGCTCACTCCGTTGCGTGGATTCGATCTTATGACTGCTGGTCTTCTGATGCTGCAGCACAAGCTTCTGTGGTTAAATAAATAAATAAATAAATAAATCAATCAATCAATCAATCAATCAATCAATCAATCAATCAATCAATCAATCAATCAATCAATCAGATAAAGTGTCTTCACACCATTGTCATCTGCATCAGATTAGAATATCGCACCAAAGATTAACATGGGAGGTTGGTGGAAAATAAGTCTTGTTATCTTTATTAACATAAAAAATAAAAGGAAACCATATATTGAAAGAGTTATCTTGGGAATGTGGCTGCTGAAGTAATCTGATCTGATTTTTCCATTAGGGCAACTTACTTTATTCTGTTTCTCCATGCATGCAAAATTAACTTACAAGTTCTCTTTTTTTCCATACAGAAAAAGACAATTGCAATTGTTAGTTTACTTAGAGATTTATGAATTATTTGATTCACTTTTGGAAACTGGCTAAATGATGGTGAGGTTTGGTTGGTGACACTTCTTCTGATGCCAGCTCTTATCAAACTTAAGTTCTTTATTCTGTGGTAAACACTAAGTTGTTGGTGGCTGGACTACCACTGAATTTCTTTTGTTTTCTGCACCTTTTTAGATTGTGCATAGTTCGAATCAGTTCTCTTTCTTTTTTAATATTAAAAAATTTGATTTTGTTGTTGTTTGGTGTATCTGGAACCAATGTTTGCTGCCTAGATTCCGCTATCTGTTGTCTTGGGCCTTTTTGAGCATTGACTGATGTTTTTAACTGAACTGCTTCTAGCCGAACTTTTTTGGATGCTGTCTTGCAAATTAAAATGGTCAAAACTGATGTCGTTGTTTGCTTTAGTGTGGTATCTACTGCTTTCAGAGGAATCTTCCTAAGATAAAACCTGAGTCTAGACTGCCTGTTTTAAATTGCTACTCTCATAAAATTTCAGCAAATCTGATAGGTTTGAACCTGGTGGACCTCACCCAACAGTTGAGGCACACTTTAGAGGAGCCATAAATGGAGAAAGACTTTCAAAACAACAATTAACCATTTTTTGGGAAAATTTAGGAGAGAATTTGAGGAAAAAATGTACAGAAACAAGAAGAACAAAAAGATAAGGTCAGAACCTGTCTGGAAGCCACCTAGAGTGGTCGTATTTTTTTTGGAAAATTTAGGAGAGAATTTGAGAAAAAATGTACAGAAACAAAAAGGACAAAAAGATACGGTCAGAATTATTTACAGATGTTTTGATTGAAAAGAGGCTCCAGAAAACTTTCAGTAAACCACCTTAGATCTCCTTATTGTGAGAAAGGCAGCCTATAAATAAAACAAACAAACAAACAAACAAAGATGTTGCCTAAGCGGCAATCAAAGGGGAACAGAGGATCAATTATTGAGTGGAGGAGCATGCACACTGAGAGAGGGTGAGTTTAAGGGTTCCTAGGCTTTGAAAAGTTCCAAAGATGTCTGTGCAAATGTAGAAGGAAACCAGAAGTGTGAATCAGAGAGCCCACAAAGAAAAAAGGTGAGATATTATCTGACCAAATGATAGGAGGAATCCACAGATCTATCTCCTTATGCAACCTGGAGCTATCGCCAGTGTGACCTACTGTCGTCTTAACAACAATCAGGTTTCTCTCTCTGTTATTACACACATGGACACATCAAGAACATGCTGGCCACAAATAAAGCTGAACTGGGCTGTTACAGGGTCCTGTTCTGTGCTGCACGCTCTTCTATATCCAGGCTACAACTGTATTCCAAGGAACACTATTTCTCTGCCATCCCTTTGAAGTCTACCTTCTTTCCAGTCTAGGCAGGCTTTGGGGAATCAAGCTGGAGGAATAAAAGTTCCTGATTTGAGGACTACCTCTCCCTGAACACAGGGATAGGACAGCTGACCCCTGCAACTCTGGAAAAGACACCAGCAGACAATGGATGACACCCCAAAGGAGTTCTTTACAGAGCTTACCTAGGAATGGGGGGATCGCTGACCATGGAACTGCTCATGGTGGTGACAGCTGTGAGGGAACTGATGCTACTTCCAGGTGAGACTGTGATCTGGCACAGAGAAGCCAATAGGTTAACACAGAACTTTGCTAATTAGCACTTTATTAGGATGTACTGTGTTTGCCCACTCCCATTCTTAACACTACCTTTAACACAGTTGCACTACATTAAATAAAAATGAGTATTAAGATTATTTTTAATAGCAATAAAACAAATCAATGCTTTGTTTAACATTCAAAGTTAATCGCCAGCTATGATCACCTGAGATTCACCTCTTACTTTTGTTTTCATTTTACAGGGAACTTGTGAACTCGTATTAGTGAAAGGAACAGATCTTAATAACTGCTAGCTCTGAAAATATACAAGGGATATGTATATATACCAAGACAAATATAGAAGGAAGCTGGAGCTTCCTTATCTCAGTAGGCTTTGATGCAACTCGACTTCTAACCTGGTTACAAACTTCTTTACAAGTAAAATAAGCATTTTATGTTCATAATCTTTGTGCATAAAATTACATTTATAATCTTCATTTCAATAATAATACTATGTCTCTTTTGATAAAGTCACAAAAATCTTCTGGAAAATAAAAACTGTGAATCCCCTTCTATGATTTTGAACTAGCAATGGGGGTATTCGTATATGAATGCGAATATCCCTTCACAGGTGGAAAGGTCGCAGAGTGGCTAATGTATTGTGGACAACGGCACGATAGAAAGACTCAATGGAGCTTGTGTCAGCAGTGGAATTCTGGAAATAACCCTGGTTATTTCCACCTGTGGGAGGGATATTCGTATACGAATACCCCCATCTCTACTTTGAACAGTATTTTTAAAGAACAAGATAAAGTAATTTCCCCTTCATTAAATGTTACCCATAAATGCCATTTGAATCCTGTCATTACTGCAAGCAGATTTTCTTTATTTTTCTGAAGCTGACTAGCACAGCAAGATCAGTATCTCCTCCCAAAATTATCCTAAATTAGGCAGCAAGGAAAATGACAGAAATTTGTGATTGCATTTCCTGTCTGAAACTGCAGAGGGCAGCTACCTGTTGCAGAGATGTACTTGGAGTCATGAATGCATCTGGAGTCATAAGTTTGGGTTTTGCATCATTTGATGAGGGAAGGAAGTCTACAGGAACAGACAGCTCTGAAATGCGGCGCAGATCTGGCTGGGAGTCATAAATGGATCCCTTCTCCGATCCCAGTCCTTCTGCGCCCAGATCAGCGAGATGGTCTGGGAATGCTACAAAATATACCATAGCGATTACTATAATTATAATCACATACACAGCCAGCTAATTAAAAAATGTTAAACATAGGTTGCAAGTCTGCTTCCAGGAATTCATGAATGCCTGTGTCCATTTCAAGGATTTTATTCTGAAGAATAATTTTTAAGATATATGGGGAGACTTCATCAGTTTTATACTAATAAAAGAGAACGGGCAATGCCCATCACAAGAGTCAAAAAATTCTGGAAGGGAAATTGGGCTCCAGAAGGGCAAACAGTTGCTGCTCCCAAAAGGCCCCCGGGAGCACTGTGCATTTAGCTATTTTTTACTAGATTTTTTGTTTTTGGTATAATTAAAATGCATAAAATGTAAATATTTAAAATAAAATTATTTTCTTAAAGTTCTTTTTCAGACTGTGAATAAAAATAAAACACACCACTTACCCACTTCTCAAAACCAAAACTTGCAGTGAAATATGTAGAACTTAGACAAAACTGGCTGTTTTTTTTTTCTTTTCTTTTCCAGTGACAGAATAACAGATACAATGATGAATTACTTATCCAGAACCTTCAACTGAAATAAGAGGACTCACCAAAATCTTCATGTGAACCATGGGGAGGTACTGGTGCAGCTGTGTCTGGACTATGGAGAGGCTGGAAGCGGATCTGTACATCTTGAAGGGCCCTGTAAGAGACAAGCACATTGCTTCACTTTCCACACCTTGTCTCAGTCAACTAAGCTAAATACGTAACATTACTTAATGCCAAGAAAGAAAAGTCTCTTCAGGTGGATCACTTCCATTCCACTCCATTTGGATTTCTCACTTGTAAGGTTCCTGTTTCAATTAGATCCAAGCTATAGCCTTTCCTTTCCTGGGGCCTCTTTAATCTATGAACATACTTAGTAAGACTACTTGCGAGATTACTGTAAAACCAAGTCTTCTCCTGTATGATTCACTACAATGCACACAGCACAAATAAAGCAATCCAATACAAGAGAGGCATCAGAAAGCAGACCCCTTTCCAAGCTACTCTCACAGCAAAAGAAAGTTACCTACCTGTAACTCTTATTCTTCAAGAGGTCCTCTGTGAATTCACACTAATGGGTTAATCTGCACCTGAGCAGAGCAGCTTCGGAACTTAAGCACATGGTGCCGGGACCTCCCACACCGGCTATAACCCCGCCCCTGCCCCCGAGTGCCTCAGTTCCGTACAACTGTCCGCTGCTGTGCAGCATGCCACAAGGCACACGTGACGAGCAGCGGGGAGGAAGGGCCGGAAGTGTGAAGTCGCAGATGACCACCCGAAGAACCAGAGTTACAGGTAGGTAACTTCTCTCTCTCCTCCGTGGTCTCTGTGAATGCACACCCTAATGGGTGACTAGCAAGCTACTTACCAGGTGGTGGGCACCATGACAAAAGAGAAGCCAGGACTGCTCTACCCACGGCAGCTTCCACCTTGGCCCGAACATCCAGACAGTAATGGACCACCATGTAGCAGCCTTGCAGAGTGGTGGGTCTATTAGCAGGGCTGTTAGTTCACTAGCACGACAAGCCGAAGTGATGGTGAGGAGAAAAACTGTTTTTATAGTAAGTAATTTTAAAGAAGTGGAAGCCAAAGGGTCAAATGGTGGAGACATCAGTTTCAAGACAAGCTGAAGGGACCACTGGGGGGGGGTAGGTGGTCTGTAGGCAGGATGCATATTCCTAAGGCCCTTCAGAAATTGTTTCAATGTTGGATGTCGAAACAATTTGGATGCATCCGAAGATGGTGGCTAATGGGTGACAATTGCAGCAATGTAAACCTTGAGGGTTGAATGGGAGAGTCCGTGCTGAAAGAGCAGGAGGAGAAACTTCAGCAGAGTGTCCAACAAGGTAGGCAGGACAGGGAGGTTATTCTTGTCAGCAAAGTCCAAAAATATTCTCCACTTGCGGGCATAAGTGGCAGCAGTGGATGGTCTCCGAGCTTGGCAGAGAACATGTGCTATTTATGGATCAATCTCCAGGCTGTAAGGTGTAGCGAGTTCAGGTCTGGATGTAGTGTCCTGCTGTCGTGGAGAGAGAGCAGGTGAGGTAGAAGTGGGAGACAAAAGTGGTCGACTGAGCCCTGATGTAGTGGGAGATCCACGTCTGACGAGGCTACCAAGGAGCAATAAATAACACGTTTGCTCGATCTTGTCAAGCTTTGATAACTGCCTTTTCGATCAGTGGGATAGGGGGAAACATGTATAGCAAGCTCTCTGTCCATGGTACTATAAACCTGTCTCCCAACGAGCGGAGGCCGGTTCCTGCCCAGGAGAAATACTGGCAGCAGACGCAAAGACATTCATACATGGAGTACCCCACTGGCGGCAAAGAGACTGGAACACCACGTCGTCTAACGACCACTCGTGGGTGCAATCCTGTAACCGGCTCAAGCGGTCTGCCAGAAAGTTGTCGGCAGAGGCAACATGAACAGCAATGGGGAAATGTGGCGCTTGTAGGAGGCATTCCGAATACGTGCCCCCCTGCTTGTTGAGGTACAAAACTGCTGTAGTGTTGTTGGTTGCAACTTGCACTACATGTCCTGCAAAGAGACGCTTGAATGCCTGAAAAGCCTTGAAAATGACAAGGAGTTCCAGCAGACTGATGTGGAGGTGGTGCTCTCCTGGCGTCCAAAGTCCATGTGTTGTGAGGTCGAGGATATGCACCCCCCCCCACCTGCTGGACTGGTGTCCATGGTAATCTGTATTGTAGGAGTGAGCGGTCCGAGAAGATTGGACTGGCGAGACCACCAGGTGAGTTGTGCAAGCTCTACCGTAACAGTCGGAAGTTTGGAAGGGGGGGTCCAAAAGAGGGTTGAACAACGGAAGGTACCAGGCCTGAAGTGACCGCACCTTCAGCTTCGCATGCTGAATCACTGCAGTGGTAGAAGCCATCAGACCTCACAGTCTTTGTGCCTGAAGAGCTTGAACCTCCCCCCCCCCCCNGGTGAAGTATTGCATGGATCTTTAGAATCCTGTCCTCGGGAACAAATGCCCAACCCAAGGTAGCACCCAGGACACCTCCAATATATGTGACCTTCTGAGTGGGGTGCAAAGTGGACTTCTCATGGTTCAGCTGGTGGCCAAGTTCAGACAAAAGGGATAAAGTAAATGAAATGTCACGAAGTAGTTTTTCTGAAGAAGATGCCACCAGCAACCAATCATCAAGGTAAGGGAACACAGTGATACCATGAAGCCAAAGGTGCGCTGCCAGCAGGGATAAGCATTTTGTAAATAGCCAAGGTGAAGTGGATAAACTAAACAGGAGAGCCTTGAATTCATAAATTGCTCCATCAAGCGAGAACCTCAGGAAACGACGGTATTCCGGATGAATGCTAATGTGGAAATAAGCGTATTTGAGGTCAATTAGAGCAAACCAGTCTCCTCCCCTCAACATCTGGATAATAACATCCAGGGAGACCATACGAAAATGTTGAGGTGCAATATAGGAATTGAAAGGGCAAAGATCAAGGATGGGGCAAAGTCCTCCATCCTTCTTAGGGACAATGAAGTAGCGTGAGAAAAAACTTTGTGCAATATCAGGGTTGTGAACTAGTGTAATAGCATCCTTAGAGAGTAGCTTGTCAACCTCTTGCTGGAGAACGAGAGAGGTAGTTGTGTTCCTGATCAGCCCCGTGCATAGTGAGGAATGGAATTTAATTGTGTAGCCCATGGCCACAACAGTAAGGACATGATGGCTGTCCAAGCATGCAGGAATGGTGCCAGATGAATCAAGTGGGGAAGTAGTGCTGGTGGGTTTGCAATGTTAAAGATTCTGCTTGGCCTTCCAATCTTGTCAGCAGGTTTCCTGACGAGGTCCTTGTCTAGTAGGCTGCTGAAGAGACTGACCCTGAAAACCAGATGCCTGTGATCTCTGGCAATTAGAGTAAGGTTGGAAGGGGTAAGGATGACACCAAGCAGTCCGTGGTCGGATCTGTGATGAATAAAAGCGAGCTGTTTTATGGTGTTTAAGCAAGCTCTCCAAGATCTCGTCAGTTTTGGGGTCAAAGAGGCCCACCCCGTCAAAGGGCAAGTCCTCAATTCTAGCTTTGACACTGTCCGAAATGTTTGCCGAACGCAGCCAGGCATATCGACGCAGGGAGACGGTTGTTGTCAGCTGCTTTGCTGCAGCATCTACCACATGCCTGGCTGCGATCTGTTCTTGATGAGCCAGTGACACAGCCTCTAGATTATAGGCAAGGCTTGGAGTCCTGAGATCTTCGGGGGCAGCTTGCAATGCAGGGAGGACACTATTCCATAGATGCCGATGCTATGCACCCATCGCTGCCATGTAGTTTGCCACCCGCAGAACAAAGGTGGCCAAAGAGTACATCCTCCTGCCCAAGATTTTGAACTTACACCTCCCCCCCTTGTCAGTTGGTGTTGAGGATGACCTACCCCAGGATCGGGTCTGTGTGGCGTCGACCACAAGTGAATTTGGGGAGGGATATTTTGAGAGGAAGTCGGTATTTGTCCTGTGTGTTTTGTAAAGATTTCCGACACGTCTTGGAATTTGATGTGAGGTTGACGGCCTGTCTCATGGTTCTTTGAGAAGGCTCAACAGAGAGGAAATGAAAGCCAAACGGAGCGGTGGTACCTGGTCTTTGGTGATATCCGCATAAACTTTATCCAGTTGCTCCACCGGAGCCTCAAGAACCACAAGGTCTAACACCTCCACAATACGCTTGATTAGTTGCAAACAGACCATATAGACTTCCGATGGCGGAGGATAACTTCCAATTACTGTACATCAGATGAAGGTCTAGGGATGTGTAGAGGAGAATCCTCTGATTTCACCTTCATCCATGCTGGACCCAGTGTCGAGCTCAAAGTCACGTTCAGGAGACTGAGCATACAACTCTTGGGCCTGAGGAGCATTGAACTCGGAAGGCGCCAGGGCCAAGTAGTCCACAAACTCATCATCCTGACTGTGCAAAGCATGATCAGGAGAGAGGGAAGGGATAGTTGCAGTATCTGGATGCTGCCGAGGTAGAGCTGGTAATCCCGATGGTGGCATTTTGGCAGATGCCACTGGTTCTTGGTAGCGAGACCGATGAATCTGGAGATGGAGGCGGGGGACAGGGGTAATCAGGGCAACAATAAAAGTCCCCCGGAAAGGGATGAAACTGAGGTGGAGGGTAAGCTTCGAAGTATGGAGACCAGTGTCGATCTTGGTAATACAGGGCCAGGTTGTATGGTATTGGGTATCCGGGACCCTTGAAACCAGAGCTCTGTGGTTGAAAATAGTTCCGTGGGTTGTCCCAGGGACTGTTTTTCCAATCTCTCGATGACGGTTGAGTGCAGTCGGGCTCGGGATCAAGGTGGCGCGTCTTTTGTTTTTTCTTCTGGGGCACCTCGGCAACCAAGCGCGGTGGAGAACCGGGGCTGGTTCAAGCCTCCTGTTGGATGTTGACCGAGCTATGAGCAGACTCGGGAGATAGGCTCAAGTGTGGTGACAGGACCACCTCTGGCCTGAGGGAGGAAGTGATACCGAGGAAAGCTGAAACTATATTTTAAGGTTGATCAATGAATTGGTGACTGAAACTGCATTCAGAGGAAAACCAGGCCTTGGGAGAATTCAACCCTGAAACATTCACAGATAACCCTTAGCAGAGAAAAAAATAGGCATCAGAGAAACTAGGCCCAGGAAGACAACACATAGACATATTAATAGATAAGGGGAAATAGATACCCTGTTGAATGTTGACCGAGCTATGAGAAGACTCGGGAGATAGGCTCAACTGTGGTGACAGGACCACCTCTGGCCTGAGGGAGGAAGTGATACCGAGGAAAGCTGAAACTATATTTTAAGGTTGATCAATGAATTGGTGACTGAAACTGCATTCAGAGGAAAACCAGGCCTTGGGAGAATTCAACCCTGAAACATTCACAGATAACCCTTAGCAGAGAAAAAAATAGGCATCAGAGAAACTAGGCCCAGGAAGACAACACATAGACATATTAATAGATAAGGGGAAATAGATACTCTATGCCCCAGACTTTTAGGTGCATCCCTGGCGCATCATGGGCATGGGTCAGGGCAAGATGGGGCATAATATGTTTTCTTACATTTAACCAATAGATTAGTGTAGTTGAGATTGTTACCCAATGAGAGAGTGAATCCAAAGTTGGGGCACAAATGACCAATAAAACTGTAGTACTTTTATGACTCTTTCTCTGTATCATATAAAACATATGTACAGTGGACCCTCTACTTACAGAATTAATCCGTATTGGAACGGTGGCTTCAGGTCGAAAAGTCTGTAGGTCGAGTCTCCATTGACCTACAATGCACTGAAAACCGATTAATCCGTAACCGACCGTTTTTATTCCGTTTTTTTCCATTTTGGTTTTTTTCTGTTCTAGTTTTTTTCCATTTTGGTTTTTTTCTGGTCTGTAGGTCGATTCTCTGGCTGCAAGTCGAACCTAAATTTTGCGGCCAGAGAATTCTGTAACTCGAAAAGCCTGCAAGACGAGCCGTCTGTAAGTCGAGGGTCCACTGCACACTGTATTCTCGGGATCTTCTCTGCTTTTAAGGGAAGTCCCAGCTGACCTTTCTCAATCTTTACTCAATAAAAGAAATCAGACCTTGGGTACAGCTGCCGCACCTCTGCCTGATTCCTTGCCGGAAAACCGAAACCCCAAATTGGCCTGTAACAGAATGTCCTCATCTCCCGACAGCACAGATACAGATACCACTTTGCACCGGGCATGAGCCATCAACGTTGGTGGCGAGAACGGAGTGGAAGGCTTAAACTCCCTTAGAAGAAGACTTCTTTTTCTTCTTCGATGTCGAGCCCAACGGAGGCTTTGACATTGAGGCCAAGGCAGTCAACCTCAAGCCCGAGGATGTGGATTTTACAATTCTACCAACCTCAGAGCGAGGCCAAGGCAGTCAACAAGCCCGAGGACGTGGATTTTACAATTCTACCAACCTCAGAGGGGGAACGAACCGTAGTTCCCAAAAAAAGAGTATGTGGCGGTTCCATCGTTGAAGAACGAGCCGGACAAAGAGATTTCTCCCACAAATGGGAATGTAATCTCTGCAGTCTCTGCTTCACAGCCGGTTTTGTGAAAGCCTTACAGAAAGAGCAAGAAGTGGGCTAATGTTCGTCGCCAAGGCAGAAAAGGCAGAGCAAGTGGCCGTCGAAAAGAGGTACTTTGTTGTTGCAGGAGGCACAGTGCTTAAAAGGCCCTGACGTGGCAATAAACACTAAACAAACACAGTTTTATGCTACCAGAACAGACTCACAATTACAGAAGAATCATCAGGCAAGCCGAGGTCAATAAACAAGGAGGTCTGAAATAGTTGAAAGGATTTTTAAGAAGGGAATAGCACAAGCTCCGAATCGCATTGGTGCCAAGGGCAGGGTTATAGCTGGTGTGGGAGGTCCCAGCACCATGTGCTTGAGCTCTGGAAAGTTCCGAAGCTGCTCTGCTCAGGCGCAGATTAACCCATCAGTGTGCATTCACTGAGACTACGAAGGAGAACAAGCCATTTCTCCTAAACTACTTGTCTGAACATAGACTACTTATCCAGAAGAATTTCCAGAAGCTGGGAAATGGGAAGATTGCTTATGTCACAGCCTCCTATTCTTCCTTGCATGTCAACAAAGAGGCTACAGTCAACAGAAACAGTGACAGAAAGCCAAATAGCAAACAAAATATCAAAAGGTCATCACTTCATTTTCAGAAAAAGTATGGAGGTAGCTGGGAGACTATCACCTGTGGCATTGTACTGATTGTTGAGGACAAAATTAGATGTGCCAACAAGTACATGAAGTCAACACAGTGGGGTAGAGAAGAGATTAAAAGGTGGCTCCTGAAAGACAGCTACCTTAACAAAATACTCACTTTGTGTGGACACAGAAGAGTTTGATCAGCACCCCTGCAGCTGATTCTACAGCTCCAATGCCCTGTGTTCCTTCTGGAAAAGAAAAGAAAAACATACAGAATCATAATCTGTTTCCTCATTTGGACAAGCTATCACCTGTATCACGTGGACCAGTCAAAACTGCAGGATGACGACAGGCTGGAGAAATAATAGCAACATCAGCAGCTGATAATACATCTTTCTCCCTTCAGCTGAACACTCAACACAGGCCTTTTCCTTAAAAAGCAACTAGGGTAACATTTAAAAAGCCTTCCTCTCACGCACATAACTCTTCTACTTTTGTTACATATATATCTCATCTTTCCTCTAAAGAGCCCCTGACATATCAGGAACCACTAAAAGAGGCAACAATGCATTTCTGCTTTCTGTCCAGTCAGGCACAACTACCTCAGGAGACACAGCAGCCGTCGCCGCCAAATTCATGACTCTCTTGCTCTCCATTTTCTTTTGAGGGTGGGGATCCTGTGAAGTTCATCAGACTGAGTGGTGTGTGACTGGACCAATGAGCTTTACTGCTGAGTGGGAATCTGAACTCAAGACCCCCTGGACCTAGTCCAATACTCTTAACAACTATACCACATTGAAGCACAGGGTTGCTCATTCTACAAATAAACATCGAGAGTGACTCCTCTAGATCCTGTCCTGTTCCCTAAACAACAGGAAACATCCAACACACCAAACATTTGTGAAGTAACTACAGTGGTGCCCCGTAAGACAATGTTAATTCATTCAGCGAAAATCGCTGTCTTGTGAAAACATCGTCTTGCGAAATGCGGCTCCCCATTGGAATGCACTGAAATCAGTTTAATGCGCTCCAATGGGGAAAAACTGTCGTCATTTTGCGAAAATCGCCCATAGAGAAACCGTTTTGCAAAGCGCGGATCAGCTGTAAAAATCGCTGCCTTGCGAAAAATGGTCCCGAAAACACCTGTTTTGCAAGTCGCGGACCTAGCTGTAAAAATCGTCGTCTTGCAAAAATCGGTCCCGGGGGGGGGAATGTCTTGTGAAGCACAGTCTGAAACATCGTCCAGCAAAAATCGCCAATAGGAAACACCATTTTGCGAAGCGCTATAGCGATCACAAAAACTTATCATCTAGCGAATTAACTGTTTTGCAAGATAATCGTCTAGCAGGGCACCACTGTACAGTGGGATTCAGATGTCCAGCCATACTATTGCTTCCAACAAGGTAGATAACCTGGAATCTTCCAGTTACTGATATACTGCTATTTCCATCACCCGTCACCAGTGTTACAGCTGGTTTCAGTTGATGGACTTGCACTCCAAGAATACTGAAGTACTACCATCCTCATTCATGCTGTTGTTGTTGTTTTACCTTTACTTGCTTCCCTAACAGACATAGATGCTGCTTCAAAATCACTGGGTGTCCTCTGCATCATAGGTACAAGCCCAATGCTGTTTAACATATTCATGAGGCCGCTGGGGGGGGTCATCAGAGGGTGTGGGGCATCGTGTCACCAGTACGCTGATGACACACAGCTCTACATCTCTTTTACTCCAACTTCAGTGGATGCCGTCCAGTCCCTTCAGCGCTGCCTGGACACCGTACTGGAATGGATGCAGTCAAATGGATTGAGGCTGAACCCGGACAAGACGGAGGTCTTGAGGGTGGGTGGCCCTCCCGTCAGTGGCATAGGTGACTCCCTTTCTTTTGGAGGGACGACCCTTGCCACAAAGAGTGAGGTCCGCAGCTTGGGGATACATCTGGACCCGGCGCTAACCATGGAAACCCAGGTGGCGTCCTTGTTCCGTTCTGCCTATTTTCATCTATGGCGGATTGCCCAGCTGCGGCCATATCTTGATCGGGGGCCCCTCACTACTCTAGTCCACGCGCTCGTAATCTCGAGACTAGACCA